TTATGTTATGTGTTGAGAGTACCATCAAGTCCAAACAAGGGGTGACAAAATGTGCATAGAGTTCTGAACACTCAGAAAATCTCACTCAATAAAGTATTGTTTTCTATAAGCCTGAACATTAAGTCAACAGAAAATGAAAAGCCATAATTTGCTTAGCATTGTGTTAAGAATTATACATTTACATACTAACTATATATTTCTTACTTGTTTCAGGTACACAAATTTATGTTGAACCAGAATCCTACTTTTAAGGGCAAGAATAGTTTTTGAAAGTTACTTCTTTTATAAGTTGTTTTTGTCCACATAATGGAGGAAACGATAATTGTGGTTAATAGCAGACTTCTTCTCATTTAATTGGTAGTTGGAGTCATTTTCAGAAATGTTTTCTCTTTCTCTCCCAATGATATAAAGTATCAGAGGAACCTTGATAGCTGGCTCAGGTGTTAGAGTCTTCTACATTGGGAGTATATATTTAATTATTTACTTCTCTTTGATATTCAACACTTTTGATTATTCTTTATTCTTGAAGTGATCTCTCTCCCCTGGGACATCACGTTCATTGATTTTCCTCCTACCTCTTAGACCAAACTTCCTCAGCCTTTTGAGGGATTTTCTACAAAGTGATGCTTAAATATTGGTGTTCCCCCTATTCTACCCTCAATCTTATTTTCTCTTCCCTCCAGCATTTCCCTAGACAATAAAAATCCACTGTCAAATTTCTCCCTCTGGATATAGCCTAAAGTCTGGACTCACCTTTCCTTTGTCTACTAGACATCTCCACTTGGATCATCTAAAGGCTTCTCACACTCAAGGATATGCTAAGTGAAATTATTATTTGTCTTTCCCCTTCTTAAAATTATGCTGTTTTATCCATAGGTCTCATTTCATTTGATGATCCACCATTCATCTCCTTACCTAGAAAAAATACCTTAAAGATTTCCCTTCATGTGATGCTCCTGTTAAAATATTTATGAAACATTACTCCCTCTTTTTCTTCTTGGCCTACACCACCCCACCTAAGGACTTAGTCACCTCTTATAAACGGCTTATTTATTTAAGCTTCTAAGAGGTTTCCCTGACTTCACGTTCATCCTCCCCACCCCCATGTCCCCATTCTCAGTTAATGATCCCTACAGCTGAATTTTTTCCTGCTTTTTTAAAATCCGAACTTGCTCTGCTTTCAATCCTTTGACTACTCTCCAGTAGTTAGAGGATAAAATCTAAATTTCCCAGCCTCATGTAGAAGATCCCGCTGATCTAATCTCCCTGGGTAACTACCAACCAGTCTTCCACTTGTAACTCACCATGCAAACAAAATGATTCAATTAAACGTAATTATAACTTTGATCATCACGCTTTTTTCTCAGCTTAGAAATTCCATCACTCCTCTGCACAGTCAGAATCCCTTTAGTTCTAAATTTCAGTTCCTTCATGACATCTTCCTTGACTCACCAAGGCACACTCCGTCTCACTTTTCTCACTCACTTGCAATCATTTATGTCTATGAACATACCCAACACTCCTTCGTAATTTTCATGACAGGCTCTCCAACATCCAATGATGCCTCAATAAATAACTGGCAACAAATATGTTATGAGCAAATAAAGAGATCAATGCTGTTAATCACAGGAAATTCTAAGGAATTCAATGTTTGTAACTTAAAACTGGCCATGAATAAGGAAGTAAGGACACATTTCTACTTTGCTTACGCTTGAAATACACACAGCCTTACAGGATTTTTCTTTTGGCGATGAAATGGACAGATTTTTATGAATTTTTGAAAAGTAAAACAAATAAGCAGCTTTAAATGAGGTGATTATTGCACACCAACTATTAGAGAAAATTAAATTTAATTATATATTAACTACTGAACTACTAAAACAATTGAAAACATTCTTATAAATTTGTCTTTACAGTAGTAAAGTTGAAGGAGAAATCTCGAGGAAATATTTGGACAATGCTGGAAATGACTCACTTCCTTAGAATTTTCTCCAGAATTGTTCCTGGTATAATATAGATTCCTATGGAGAGAGCACATTTTGTAGCAAACCCTTGACGCTTTCGAAGTCCCTACAATATAAATTACAGAACTAAGTAGAGAAAATACTTTTTTTTATTTGTTGTGGTTTTTTTGTTTTGTTTTGGTTTGGTTTTTGGAGGGTGGAGGTAATTCGTTTTGTTTATTTGTTTATTTTTAATGGAGGTACTGGGAATTGAACCGAGGACCTGCTGCATGCTAAGCACACAATCTGCCACTGAGCTATAATTTAAAAATTAACACCACGGTGGGTACTTCTTAACTACGCAAAGTGTTGATCTACAATATCAACAAAGTCAGCTCACATTTTTCAAGAAGTTACATGATAAATAGTGCAGTTCTGTTAAAAGATATTCAGTCCACCTTAAACCCACCACATTCTGAAGCCTCTCACCTGGCTGGATGTTTTCTCTTATGATAGTTACATGGTTATCCCGATCTGGCCGTGTGTGTTCATGCCAAAAGCCTATCACATGGCCCAGTTCATGGACAACAATTCCAAATTTATCACAGTTCTTGCCAATAGAGATCGCCTGAGGTCCATTTCCCCGCCGACCTACATAGGAGCAGCATCTGGAATAAAGCAGAAAGTGCAGATGGTGGAGGACAGGAAGATGCTGAGGGAATCACAATAGGGTGAAACTTTCATAAAAAATTCTGATGGACTATCAAGTCCAGCACATTCAGAGGCAGAACAGTTTTTCATTAATAAATAGAACTGATTTCTTGTAATCCTGGTAAATTTATCTATGATAAGAATCTCCAAATGATCAATTGAAGTGGTTTTGTATTAATTCATTTATTAGAAGATGTGCCTTAAGTCATTTTTAGGAGTATTCAGAGTATAAATCAGAAAATAAGATACTGATGATAGTTAATGGCTATTATACATACGGTTAAACTCAAGACATCAACTCACATTTATTTCTAATACATTTTTTCATTCTCACAACCCATGTAAATCATTTGGTAACTACTTTGTCAATATGGTTGTCTGGCAATAATCCATTATTTCAGTATTAAATATAAATTAAAGTTTATTTCTCCTCTTTGAGAAAAACAGAATTAAATTTGTGAAAGATGTTGTTATTAATTTTCCTGCTCATGGAAGAATTTCCTTAAAGAAGAAAACTTCTAAAAGAAGTCAATCAAGGAAAATTCATTTCAAAGCTGAGTTATCTAGGGTTAATGGTTGACTGGCGAAGAAAAATCAACTGCTAGGATTGTGAGACTTATGAGACTGTGTCAGATCATCAGGCAGGTATTCAGTGTGACAGTCCATTCCACCTTCTGAAAGAATCTCTTGGACTGTCAGGATGCAAAACATCCCGAGCGTCTTCCTGCAAATTGCCCTCCACTTACTGACATTTATACTCACTCAATGATGTTCTTCTATGAACAACACAGAAGTTCCATTTACTCACTTTGTGTCTGTGTGGGGTGTGCACGTGTGTAAGTGTGCAAGAGTGTGCACACACGCAAGGGTGGACACATAGGGACACTCTAATCTTTAAATGGTATAATAATATAGTAATTACAATCACAATTATAAATAAAATTAGGCCTAAAACTTCAATAATTAGGGTTTACCTTAAAATAGCTTCTACCTAAGGGCCACCCCTCCAGACAGCAATAGAGGGCAGTAAGTAATTGGTCTTGAATAGATGGGAATTATCATGGCGCCAGCCACCAAACACCTTTTCTAATGCGAAAATTACCCCAAATCAGTTGCCCAAATGATTAAAATGAATTTCACTAACTTCGTTTTTCAGAGTAAGCACATCTGGCAGTCCTGTTGACTGTTCACAAATACAAATATTTGTCATTCCAGTTATTTCCGTAGGCTTTAAATGCCTAAGCATTTTAACCTATCCCATGCCAATTTGAAAGAGTAATTTGGTTTATTATTTATGAATCTATTATGATGGTTAATTAAGCTTAATAAATCAATAATAGAAAACTGAGGAAACGACAGGGAAAAATAGGGAACTGTGCTTTTGCTCCCAGGTAGATTTTTTTAATAGCACATTTTAATTTATACATTCATAGTTATTGATTACATGCTGACATAGTAAAGTATTAGATGTAGCAAAACACAAAATTTTGGAGAGATTTAAATGGAAATAGTTGCTACCATAAAGCAATAGTCATGAAACCAAAATATCTGATTGTATGGCAGCTAAATAACCCACACTGAGTCATTCTTGATGGTTATATTCAGAGAAGAAAGTACTTTGCAGATAAAAATCCAGGAGCTAGTCAAGCAATATGGTCAATTCATTTAATCTAAAACATCCTTCATTAGCATTTTACCCATAACAATTTCCAATAAATAAGACGGGGTTTCATAATGGAAAGCAAAAACACATCTCACACTGACTGTTACAATGGTCCTGTGAAAAAAGAAAAATGTGGTGGTTTGAGCTCTGACATACGTCAGGTCTAGGGACAGACGAATTCTAGGTGCTCAAATGACTACAAAACTAAATATATGTACATATAATTATGTCTGGAATGACAGGGTGATATGCACAATTTATAAAAACATGGTTTAAACATGTCTAGGTATTATCTTGGTTTCTTTCTAATGGCATCCAGGTTTGATACTGTTCTCTTGTATATGGCTTTTGATTTTTTGTTTCTAATTTGAGTGTTGCTTTTAAAGCTTGGCCATTATAAGATTGATCTGCCTTCTCAAGAAAAACTTTCATCATCTTTAGAGAAGCCTCACTTCTCCCTAAGCCATAGAGAGTAACTGAGTAATCCATAACCTGTTATTCCCTACTTTGGCCTCGGATTGGTGGATCAAAGCCTATAAAAAAAGTTGCCTATAAGCATAAAGATGCCCTCCCCACAGCAGTCTTTTCTCAGCACAGAGATAATTTCTAAACCGTAAAGTTAGATGATGTCACTTCTGTACTCAGTATTCTCCGATGACTGTGTGGTAAACTGTGTCAATGTTCACAAATACTCATCACCTTTCTCTAGGAGATCATTATATTGCCCTTCCCTACTAGGTTTGGTCATGTGACTTGCTCTGGACAATGTCATATAAGCACAAATTGAAGTTGGGACTTGCCCAAAGATACTTAAATCTGTAGTTGCATTCCTGAAATTAGGCTTTTTGGGCATTCATGTGTACGTTTGTGACTGCTACAGTAGTCATGTTGCATTTTGGTTTGTTTTGGTGCTCATTTTTCAGTTCAGATTTACCCTGTGTTATTTTTTTCAATGATAAGAAGGATCATACTTCTTATAGGAATTGATCTTTGGCCTGCTCATCACTCCAATCATTTCGTGGCTTCTAAATTTATTTGAAATTACCATAATTGGCCACAATTTCATGAAACAATTACTTTGCTATGATAATGCTGTATTTACGTCTCATAAAAATTAATTTAAATTATTAAAGATTTTGAATGTTGGTACTGCACAAAATACTGAGGGCCATCTAGAATAAGATATATTTTAAGCCAAACACTTCGCACTCTGTTGGAATTAGTATTGGGTCTTTGTCTTATACAAGCTGTGACATATCACATAGCACATTTAACAAGCCCTAGTGTACGTCTCCCCTGCATATGGAGACGTGGTAAATGGTGCCATTGATATGGATGGCAACCTTCATCAGTTCTTTGACCTGGAAGACAACTGCTTTCTACCACTTCCTCTCACTATCATCACTTTGACTGAGCTTACTCACTGAGTCGGACAACTTGGAGCGCTTGCCATTTTTTAAAATCTCTAAATTCATGAAGTACATGTTCTTCAAAACCCCATTAAATTCTTACCTCCTTTTGTCTTAGGATTACACACAATGTACATTAGCTGATGTGTAAATTGTCAATACTTTCCTAATCACCTACTTATAAAGCAGTGTGCTGAGTGTCATGAGGGACACAGAGGTACGCTCCCTGCCCTCATCAGTGATGAAGGCAGACATTTGAACCGACAGTGGAGATGGAGTTATGACAGCTGTTGCAGGGCAAAGTCCCACTGTGGGAAGCTCAGAAATGGATGAGAATAAAATATTGGAAAGATTTCCACCGATGAGAAAGGAAAGACTTTCGAGTAACTAAAATGTCACAAAAACAAACATGAAGATATGATAGTAAATAGGGAAAATTAGTTTAGTGGGATAAAACAAGTAAAATGGAGAACTCTGAAAAGAGTCAAGTTAATAAAAGAATGAGTATGCATATGAGTTTGTTACAAACAGAATTTGAGCAATGAAATAATAAACGATTGGGGCTTTGGATGCATTCGTTTTACAGAATTGAAGAGTGGGAAAGAGAAAACATGTATTGGTCTGAATACATTATATATTTAGAAATATGTAAGCTGAGATATATCCACTCCTTTTAGATAACCAGAGGAAGGAAGGACAGTCTAGCTTTGGCCTTTTAAATATTAAATACACATAAAGAACTAGGAGGGACTTCAAATGTAATCAAAACTTGTCAAGCTAAAATTAAGAGTAATTCAGAAGGAAACATTGCTTAAATAAGTCACAGCTAAAAAATTATGGCTCTATCCAAAAATATATAGAAAAATGATCATCTATATTTTTTCTTAATGTCACTTAGGGTTAAAATTAAAACCCATTACTTTTTTGTTGAAATACGGTTGATTTACAGTGTTGTGTTAGTTTCAGGTACATAGCATAGTGATTCAGTGATACATATATATATTCTTTTTTATTATCAGCGATTACAAGGTATTGAATATAGTTCCCTGTGCTACACAGTAGGACCTCATTATCTATTTTATATATAGTAGTTAGTATCTGCAAATCCCAAACTCCTAATCTAGAAAAAATATGGAATTTGTGTGTAATCCTTATGCAGGGACCATGCTAATCTCTGCATCCTTCCAATTTTATATATGTGCCTCTGAAGGAAGCACAAAACCCATTACTTTTTAGGTTAAGTTAAATGTTCTGGGAAAATGTGGTAGAAACAAAGCCAGATGTTGTAATTCCCCAATACCTAGTGAAATACTTATTTCCCCCACCCTCAAAATATGTGTCACTAGGGCAAGAACAATTTCCTCCAAAGGACTTGAGCAGTTATTTTTACTTCCCTAAATGAACTGTAATAGAAGGTATTCAAATAGCTGTAGCTTATTAGGGAAAATTACTCTTTATAGAAGAATTTCAGCTAATACATGTAGAAGGAATACAAGAAAAGAACAACATTAGAAAAGCATGATTTTGCAATGAGGAGAACTTGCACAATGCAGGGACCTGGCTGTCACCACCTGAATCCACTGATCAGTCACAGTGTCACTAAAGTGGTAGGTCCAGGCACTCGTACCTCTTGATGTGATGCAGGGTAGAGTAGACAGCACACCGTATGTTCTTGGCAAACAAATAAACAAAAATGGAGGCTAAATTTAAATATCCAGATGTTTACATATAGGTTTCAATTAACTGGAAATACAGAGGGAAAAGCTTGAAAATTTTCACAATGAAAAATATTTTAAAGTATCCATCATTGTTTGGAGAACTGCTGTTACTGCAACTTGGCTACATTACGGGATTTGTGGGAGGATGTGGCAGCAGAAGAAGTGGAGACGGAAGCTGTGGTAAGTTCATGGCATTCCTTAAATGTTACATCAAAGAAAGTAGATTTTGTTATCAGGCTAGCATTTCCCAAAATGTGTTCTGGGTTATTGATACACATTCTTCACTATTAAAAGGGTGGGATGGGTGTTTCATTTTTTAAATAAGTTTAGAGAACACTGTATTCTGTATTCCTTTCAATTGGCTGAATACCAGTAAGGTTTAGCACGCTGCTTATAGAAATAACCTGTTGAAATTTAACACAGAGTTTTCACAACTTACAGAATGGTTGTTTTGCAGAGAGTACTGTTACCATCCTGTAAGAAGCAAATCTAGAAAACACCACTGTAAGAGGAAACAGTGAGGAATCTCAAAAAGCGTGGTATTTTTTTCTCCGATGAGTATTTTTTTAAGATAATTCTGGTGGCAGTGAATTGGTGAGGCAAGACTGGAGAGCAGTTGGAATGCACCAGGTGTAAAGTGACAAAGACATGAATGGACCAGGGGACTGACATGGAACGAAAATGGAAACCAAAAGACATAGTGAATATCCACAGAAACTCTTTGTGTAAATTTTAGAGGGTGCACAACAGAATCACTAAAATAGAATACTGAGCTTTCCAATTCAGGTGAGTGGGAGGTTGGCAACGCCACCACGTAGCTAGAACAGAAGGAAAGGCAGCTGAGGTGGTGAAGGAACACACTTGGAGCAGATGCACAGAGGTCTGTGATCAAAGAATACATTTATTTAAAATATAATATTCTCTTACATAAAATCGATGCCTTCTCATGGGCAAAATACTAAGCAAATATTAAAACACGAATCTTACCTATGGGTCTTTCTCCCTCCTATGTAAGTCATTCCCTGGTTCTACTCACCCGCAAGGCCTGTAAGTGAAAACAATGTAGCTCTCCTCATCGGCTCTTTCAATGAAAGTCACACATGTGTGCTTTTCCCAGTGCCTCATGGCCTGCTTGAACATGGCTCGCTGGCTGCCTGGAAAAAGGTGTGACATTAATAAAACAGTGCCTTCCCCAGAGAGGAATCTGCACGCAGCTGCTCTGTCCCGAGTGTGTCTGCACAGGTCAGATGCCATCACTGTCCTCATCCAAGGAACACCCGCCCCGAACCCCGCAGGGAGCCCTGGTGGAGAGAGGACGCTGCCTTCATGATCGGAAGGTTCCAGCTTACTGTCCATACAGGTACGTGTGTACAGGGCTCCAAGAATGAGAAATACATTCTTCCTGTGAGCTGAAAAGAAATCAGCTTCCAGATTTGATGGGCACATTTGAAACTCAATTTAAAGCCCAGAGCAGCTCTTTAGATTCTTAGAACTCAAGACTAAATATATTTTTAAATTTAAGACTTCCTGACAACTAAGGGAAATGGAGTATTTCTCAAGTTTGATTTAATAGTATGTTATATATATGAATATTCTATGAAAATATACACATAACCTATATGATAATTATTTCTTAATCAAGGTCGACCCTCTGGGAATGTCTTACCAGTGAAGTTGCCTCCTATAACGTAAGGAATAACACCTCCAGGCCATACTCGTTCAGTTCTTGACGTAGCAGCTCTGGGAACTCGGTTTTTCTCATTTTGCCCTGAGAATTTTAGAGGTACTTTTCCCTTAACTGTGTTGTTTTGCTCCAAGCCTGCAGTGACATTTAAAACATTCTGTGAAACAGAAGTCCTCGGACAGAGAATCATTTACCTCTTAAAGGACAAGTTAAAATGTCTTATTTACATATTTATATAAATATGCCTGCAGTCAAAATGCATGAAAGAAAAACTTTAATTATATTACATACTTTAAAAAAGCCTTAAAATATTTAAATAATTCATGTCAAAATACTATTCTTAAAGCTCTGTGAGCAAATTTTGATGAATTTTCATACAACAGCCTACAGTGGGTAGAAGTCAAGTCTTTCACGTATTTTGTATTCTGCTTTGTATCATGTATTATGTATTCTGCTTTGTTTGATCGCTAAGAAATTCACCATCAGAATAAAATAGACATTTTTTAAAAGTCTTACGATGTTCAAAACTCTTACTCCTGCTAAATCCCTAATCCTTTAAATCACAATTGATATTCCATAATATAGCCTAAAATTGTGAATATCATACTGTAGATGCAGTAAATGAAGTAAGGATAAGATAGACATGGTCTCAGATTCTGAGACAGCAGGCTACCTCCATTCCAGTTTCCCTGGGATTCACATCCAGACAACAGCATGGTTTAGAGATCAGCACAGAAAGTGAACAGGCCAACAACACAAAATGCAGTCTATTCTGCAGCAATGTCGCGTCTGTATTTACTAACTTTTCTTGGTAGCCTTTTGTAACATTTTTTCTTACTGGTCTATTTTTCCTAAATGTGCGTGATTTTGTTTTTCTTATTTATATATGACTGCTGATATCAATATCTTACAGCTTGCATACACTTCAGAAAACAAATATTGAATGTGTGCCCCCTGTGTGTGTGTCCCTAACATGTCTATCTTTTTAATATCCTGGAGTAAAGCATCTTTGCTTTGGAAAATTAATTCTTGAAAGTAGGCACTTTTAAGTATTTTATTAATAATCAGTCAATTTAAGGGACATTAGGATATGAACTTTGAAAAGAAGACTTTTAAAAAAAACCCTCTAAAATTATTAGTGATTAATAAATACAATACTTTAAACTAATCATGAAGCTAGAAGGCAATTCCTCTGAATGTTTCCTACATACATATCTTTGGAAGGATCAAAAATATTTTCAAGTATGTTTAATCTAATTAATCAGTTTACCAATTTAAGTGGATTTTATTTCAGAACAAACAGCCATGATATTTTTTCATTTGATTTAAATTTATGTAGCTCCATGCTTGATAAAATCACTGTAGTGTGAAGCCAATGTACTGGAAATAAATATCAACAATCAAATAAACAACTAATATAACTTTTTAAAAAGGAGACGCTGAAAATAGGTTGAAATATTTCAAATGTTCCAAATTATGTTCTAGAAAACTTACATCGAAAATCAACTAACAAAATAAAAACGAATAAAGGACTCTCAGAATATATCCTTTCCATACTGTGCATCTTAATGGCAAACTGAACTGCTGTAATATTCACTGTACATCAAGTCAAGCGTCTGCAACTTTAAACATTGATATACCAGCGCCAATTCTTCTTATCCTCTCTATAAGTTGATAGAGGGCCCCTCGTTTCTTTGACATACCATGGTCTCCAAATCCACCTTAAAGAATAAAGGAAATGGTTAAGTTAAACTCGCTGTAAATTAAAGTTCTTTTAAATAAGCAATAGGAGTAGGCGACATTGATTCTTCTTTGGGTATCTCTTTGTATGTGGTCTTACAGGGTTAGAGTCATGAATATCCTTAAGTCTTGGAAAAGGGTTAAAAATTCTACAATAACAAGTTTTAGCAACTAAAACTAAGGGGTGGGAGAGACCCAGAGAGCAATCTAAATGACTTTATTTGGGCATCGTGGCAATTGAGTCATCTATTGACAATTTCAAACATTTTTCTTCACTGTGACCTTGACATCGCATAGTATTGTATAGGATGACAGCAAGTTGTTCTGCCCTGTGGAGTGCATTCCAGCTACTTCCCCAGTGTGAACTAAAAGTTTTCAGATACCAAATCAGCAAATGGGAATAAAAACGTTAGAAGAGCATGCTGTATGTCAATTACTCCTCAATGAAACTGGGGAAAAAAAGAGCAAGTGTATAGTGCAAGTTTTGCTCCAAGGCTTAGATTTCTAAAAGCATGTGATGTTTTATAATATATTCAAATAAATTTTGAAAATTAGTTTCTGTGATTTATAAAAACCAACAATATCTAATTAGAAAAAGGTGAGATTCCAAAGGATGTCTGGCTGCAAAATACATTGTTACGCTATGCAATTTGCAAAAATTATTTAAAAAGATGTAAAGAATTTTATAGCTCAAAAAGTAGAGGAAAGAGTGGGGATAAGAAAATGTGTCTTCTTGTAATTTTAAGAACAAGGTCATAATTAGAAAGTAAGTAGATCATTTGACAAAAATCCAACTCTTTTTAATTCTCATTCCAGGGCTTTAATAAAATGCCTCAAGTTTTATCTCCTGTTTTGCATTCCCCTTGAATTTTTGATTGATTGGCAAATAATAAAGAGGTATCATTGAGCAGATAACTAATATGATCACTAACGATGTCAGAACAAGTGGTTCATGAGCGTGTGGACACAATGGAAGAGGACCAGAAATTCACAGAAATGACGAATTGCTCCTACACTTTGAGCTATTTCCTTCCAATATCCTTTCTGCCTTTAATACTGAAACTTCAATTACCTAGATTGAAGCTAATGAAAAACAATAATAAAAATTATTACCATATAAGCCTCACAGGAAAAATCAATTAAGTCCTTATAAGGCAAATAAGTCAGAGTGCTTGTTCCCTAACTGATAATCTGCTTAATTATGTGCATTACACAGTCACATTTTTGCTATGCCCCTTGAGAAAAATTTTTGAAATTTTTTCATTGAACATTTTAGAAAGATGAGATAATACTTAAATGTATTCATTCCTAAGTAGTTACAAGAAACATTTTTGAAGGATGGTAAAAATGTATTTGAAATGACCATTGTGTAAAAATTATATTGCAAATTAGGCCTGAAACACATATAAATAACTATAGAATGAGGCTAATCCTGAGGAAAAAAGAAATGTCTTAGTTAATATTATGGTGATTATAAGGATAAGAGTAATTATAGACCAGAGAAAACATTTCAAGATTATCAAAGACAATAATGTTTTTAATAGTTTAGTAATTTTGAATAATTTTTATAGCTATTGAAATAAAATTTTGTGTAGGTAGTTCACTGAAATAGAAAAAAAGAAAATTCATAGATGATTATTTCTCACATATCCTAAAAATTCCAAAATGAAAATATACAAGCCAAATAAATATTTATGGGAAAGACAACACATTTTGAAATAAAAAATATAGTCAGTTCAACACAAAATACCAAGGAAGGGAAAAGATAGAGCAGGAAAGAGCTAATTGACTACTTCTACAATGTTTGAAATCCAACTGAATAGTGCAAAATACTTCGAAATACATAATATTCATTCATATATATATATATATATATATAGAATATATGTTTTTTAATGATTGATAGTGTAATCTTATTTTATGCTATTTATCTAAAATAATGGTATTTTCTTCCAAATATTACACTTTCAGAGTTTAACTATAAATGAAATGACAAAATTATATAGTACTAAAATGTTCTAAATCACAGAAAATAAAAGCCCCTAATACAAAGAGAGGAAAATGAGTTAAAGAAAAGTCTTGAATAAAGCTTGAATCTAACCAGTTTTAATAAAGACTGAAAATGGAGCATGCTAAGTCTAAGCTTTTGCTGAGTTGTATCATTACTTTGTTGTCCCAAATCCATTGTCTCTGTGTCAGTGTTAAGTGTGCTTGAAGAGTCCGTTGATAAACACATCCTACGGGAATGTGCTGTCTGTGATGACACTGCAAAGCAGCTTTCCTCCTATATTTGGTCTCAGTTTTAGAAAAGCCTTTCATGGCTCGTACTTTTCACTATAACTAAGGCTAACGCATATTATTTTTAAGTAATGTATTATTTTAAATCACTTCCTTAAGTTTTATTATCTTAAATAAATTTCATACATGTAATAATTGTATTTCAATTATAGACAATAATGTCTTTATCCTTAAAAAGTGCATGCTAACCTACTTAACATTGAAAAGCTATGTTGTCTGCAATTAACCTCAAAATATTTTATACACCCTTCTGCATGTATGCGCGCACACACACACACACAAAGCTAATACAGTAAACATAACAATCGTTGACTCTTAGAGGTGTATGGGTATTGCTTGTATTATTCTATTAACTTTTCCACACTTTTGAAACTTATAATAAAAAGTTGTGAAAAAGTAAATTGGGCAAAGAGATGTTAATTCATAATAAAAAGTCTTAAGTCTAAAATGTCCTTGTCTGCTAGATACCACAAAGGGACGATATATATTATTTTCCACAGAATACAAGAAGAAAATAAAAATAGCATTGAGCATGAGGAGAGAGTCAATAAAATCAAAAAGCATGACACTGAATCAATGTTTCAGCTATAACAACAAAATGAAGTTTTACATTTTTAACCTTGCGATGTTCCTCAAATAAAATACAGAGTAAAAAGTTGCATCAAAATAATATGAATCATTTTTTTAAATTTTAATTAAACTATTTAAAAAGGAGAACCCAAATAATTTTTTAAATATATTACAAATCTCATATAGGCATAATTCAAACATGTTCAAACAGTTAAACTGAAATTATCTTCCAGGTTTTCACAAAAATTATAAAGCTAGATCAATTTCTCTAAATAAGCTTGTGTGTAATCACTCTAAGAATAATTTATGTTTTGTAACTCAGTATCCAAATAGAAGGCAACTGAATATAATGCTCAAGAGGATGAAACTTGACATTTCTAAGAACTGAATTTTGGTCCTCACTCAGCCATTTCCTGGCTACGTGACAATGAGAAAACTATAAAACCTTGTAAATCTCCTCCCTTGTAAATCACAATAATATGAGCAGCTACCCTCATGGGGTCATTATGAGGATACAAAGAGTTAATGCTTGCAAAGTACTTAAACCAAGCCTGGTATGAGGTAAATACATTGTTACATACATCAATTAATAATATTGAAACTATGAACAAAACCTAAATTTCTAAATAGGCTCATCCATATCAAGGGAATCAGAGTTGACCAGCAAATATTAAAAATGATCCAAAGAGTATTTTAACATTTGAAGAGTAGATGAATGCAAACTGAATCAAATAGTAAACCATACCTGTGGTGTGTCCAAATTTTCCAAAGGGGTTCTGTGTAAGGTCAATTGTCCTATCAATTTGAAAGATATTTAAGTCTTCATCATCTAAGGCAATGTCACCCCAAAACACAGCTAAAAGAGAAAAGTTTAATTAAAATGTAAATTATTTAAGAATGAAAATTAAGGCAAACAAGCTAATAAGAAAAGTATTGCAAAAATATGGAAGTGTGGTCCTTACAGATATAGATGTATTTCAGAAAGTAAGGGTAACCGAATATACTGGACCTGTTACAATGTAATATGAGCCACCTGTGAAAGGATGTGACCTACGTTTTTCACTTTGATGTTTGAGGGCAGGAGGAGAAAGTCATTTCTTTGAGTGGAATGGTCTCTGATTTGTGGAGTATCCTAAGGAAAGAGAATTCAGCAATCATGGCTGATTTGCAAATAAGTCAAAATCTGATAGGAATGCTTGAATTCACAGTGGATGCCCGTGATCAGCAGCAGGTCGGGAAAGAGAGGTAGAATTAACCTCTAAACCATGTGCTATTATAACTTAATAAAGTGAGGTGCAATTAAGACAAAAGACTATTGTACTGTTACAGCAACTCATTCATTACATTTTTATACAGTTATAATACACTTTCTCTAAAGACCACATTGACTTGGACTCTCTATAAAATGTATAAATAACTAGCAAAAGTAATATTTAAGTCAACATTTTTTTAGGCAATGACTAGATGCTGGACTTTGATCTTTGATGACAAATAAGACATTGTCCTTATTTTCAGGAGCTTCAAAACCATTACCCTCATCCTGGAAACACTCTGATTCTATCTTTTATAACCAGAAAATTTATGCTACTTAAAGTAAAGCTCTATGAACCACTGTGAATTTATTTAAAGCCAGTATGTGAATTCTCTACTAAGGTCAGTAATATACATTTGCATAACAAAAAATGGCCTCCTTGTTTATTTGAGTCTAAAAGTAGATTAATCAATCCCTTTGTACTGCCAGAAGTCAAAATATAATAACTCTAGGAAACATAACAAACTTAAGAGAATAAATTAATCATGAAATAGAAGAACATTGTCAAATGCTTTGGAAATTCTGGGATATTTGTTTCTTGATACAGGTTACAAATTTTCTTTTTTTAATTTTTCTTAATTTTCTTCTGCAAAACCAAAAAGGCAAGGAGGAACTTATATTAGAAAGGTAGAAAATGACAAAAATCCATGCTTTTCAAATCACTGTCTTTTACTAAATCCAAATCTTAATATGTATGAATTTTAGCTATA